TTAACAATTCCATATGAGAAGAAGACCAAAGAAGGGTAGTTCAAAGTGTAGTATTGATTCGAATTTGAAATTGAAGCATGTGGTAGGGTTCATTTGTACTATGTTTAGGTGTTCGTTTCAGTTTAAGTGTTTAAGTGTGTTGTAGCTTGAGTGTTTGTTTTCAGTTTATGTAATGGCTGTTGTTCATGCACACCACAACAAATAATGGAAATAATAAGTGTATCTTGTTATATACCTTGTTGTTTAATGTTTTTGTTGTAAATTTATATACCTTGTTGCTTGTATTATAATATGCAAGGAAAAAAATAACACGTACTAACACATATTCACATTCACATCCATTGAAATGGTAATATAAACAACAAGACTAACACAGATTCATTTGCACCCATCCAAATAAACATATACGTAGTATTAAACACCCATATATTATGAGCAAAAAGGGCGTTTAAGAAGTGTTTACACATGAGGGTGTTACACTACATACAAGTGTCTTGCACATCCTCCAAAAATTTGATGCCATACACTACAACATCAGTGTTTATCACTTGCAAAAATGAAATGATATACCAAATATAGCATGACTTATCAGTTGCAAAAATATAATGCCATATATAACAAAACATGAAAACATATCACAACAGTTTCACAAACATAATCTTCCATTTCCATCAGATCACTTCTTCTTAGTCAAATTCCATCCAGCCCTATTCTTTTTTGCCACACTTGAAACTGTCTTCCCTTTGTGTGCTTTCTTCCTCTCTTCCATCCTTGCACCTCCATCTATTGGTAGCCCTCCCATTGAACAGATTCAGATATCCTAGATGTTGGTGGGCAGGTGGTTTGTTGAGAGTTCATAAGGTCCTAAATATATAACAAATACTATTAGGTAACTTTAAAGCAGTTAATGTGAAAGATGTTCAACATTGGAATTTAGGTACCCTTACCAGTTCTTCCAACACTGCAGTGGGTACTTGGGTAGTGTGGATCATAGTCTCACCTGCAACAACAACTTCAGTAGTCTGTGAAATGAAATTAGTAATCACATTAGAATAGAACTAGTACTTGGCAAGGATGAAGAATGTTTTAAAAAGAGTCTAAACAACATGTTTTTTTTTCTGTTTGCGTGTGGATTTGTTGTGCCCTGCAATGCCACATACACCACATTTCTTGACTTGGCCAGATTTACCAAGCTTATGCTTCAGTCGTCCTTCCTCAATCTCTGTTTTACCAACTCTTCTTCTCTTTTTTTGGGCGCCCAGGTTGAGCTTTATACTTTGGAGGAATAGGTGGTGGTAATCCACTCTTGTGCCACTGCCCAGATGAATTTATGGGCATAATAGCAGGTTCATAGGCCCTGAGATAGCAGTCCACTGTGTAGCACTTGTGCACAAACTTCTCTGTTGCTTCTCTACTCTTTCAAATGCAACAAACAACATGACCACATGGCAGGCTAGTGAGATCCTATCTCCAACAAGAGCAAGTATGTGCTAACAAATTCACCTTGAATTGCCTACAATAACCGTCCTCTACTTCATATATACCGTCTGTGGCTTTGTAGGCAATACATTCATTTGCCCTATCTTTTGCTTCTTCCAGAAGTTTCAGAATTTTAGGGCAAATTTGTAGTGGGCTATCTCTCATCTCATCTCTATTTTGTTGCATCCTCACCATCAAGTAAATTCTAAGGCTTTCACACATTGTTAAAATGCTCTTGTCCCTGAAATTTAATATTGAGCTATTCTAGGACTCACACAAATTATTCAACAACATATCACATTTTACGAATGTGTTAAAAAAGCCCTACAATAGTGGCTTGGGTCTCAGGAACCTAACCATTCAGCAGCACCTGCTCTAAGCTTCTTCAAATCCTCCACGCGTTTCTGAAATGCAAGCTTTGTTGTGGCTTTGCATACAGCCCACAACCTTCTTTCAGTTCTTGCCCACCAAACCCATCCTTCACAAAGTTTGCATGCATATGTCTCACACAAAATTTGCGTTCAACCCCAGGGAGAATCTCTTCAACTGCAGGTAGTAGCCCCTTTTGCTTATCAGAAATGATTGTCCCAATTTGATGAGATATCCAAATCTTCATTAAGAATTCCAAGAAACCATGGTCAGCTATCATTCAACTCCCCTTCCACAACAACAAATGCAATTGGATAAATTGAGTTGTTAGGATCAACTCCAATGGCTGAAAGTAGATGTCATTCTTTCTGAGAACCCTTTAGGTGACAGCCATCTAGCCCTATAAGAGGTCTACAACCACTCAAGAAACCTTGCTTGCAAGCTCCATAAGCAATTTACAATCTCAGGAATCTTGACCTCTCATTCACACTGAAGTCACCATCAAGCTTCATCTTAACTGTTGTTCCATGATTGTTTCTTCTCAACTCTTCACAGTAGTCCCACATCAACTCAAATTGCTTGGAATCATCACCTTCCCATTTCTTCATTGCCAGTCTCTTAGCCCTTGTAAGATTTGTGCTCACTCAGCTTACATTTGTACTTCTTTTGCACATGCTGTTGAAACTCCTTTCTACCCCAGTTGTGGTTGATCTTGAACTCATCTTCATACACTTTTGCAAGAAACCAAGAGGTGATGGTCTTGATTGTCATGTTGGTCTCCACATGTATGACCCGGATAGTAAGTTTTAACTGTGAAAGGACAGTTTGGGTTACTTTTGGACCCAAATATGGTCCGTTTACCGTGTTCATGCCTGCAGACTGTTCTAACCCTTTTGCTTTCATTTTTAGGAAATCTGATATCCTTCATGTTCTTTGCTTCTTGGTAGGTCACAGCCCATTTGAAATCAGTACTACTCCGGAACTTCATACCAAGGGCAAACATAAACCCATCCTTCTTGAAGCCTCTCTATTCATACACACGACCTTGATCAATCCCCTCATTATCTAAATTAGAGCCCAGACTTCTCAAATCATCTTCAGAATACACACAATCATCATCTTCCATGTCTTCCATTCCCCACCCTACAAACTCATTGTCATGGGTCTTGTTCATGGCACTGGTGGCAGTGTCTATACCTTTATCTTCACCTCCAGCAGAATACATGCTATCTTCAAATGACTCTCCCTTTGAGCTAGATGTTGAGTTGTTGTCATCATTATAGTCATCCATCTCTTCTAGCTCATCAGGAATAAAAGAAGATACATTCACATCATAATTCCATTGATCCTCATTGACATGCTCCACAAAACGTCTCTATCTCTCTGTTTTCTGGAAGCTCATAACATATGTTGTATAAGTCTTCATGTGTCATTATTCTTCTCACACTAGGAAATTTCCTGGAACCATATTTCAACCAGAAGATAACCTTCTTAGAGCAGAACTGTAACTTTTTCACTAACTTTCTTAACTCCAAGATACTTCTCTCCTCACCGTTGAAGTAATCAAGGTACTCTACTCTCCCATTCTTATATTGTACAGCAGGTTGAAGCACCAAATCGCCAGCATAATACATCTTGATTGTGTAAGTATGCCTCTCATCCTTGATATCTACAAAGCATAAGAAGTAATACAAACACAATCAAAGACAAATCAACACCACAAAGCCAAAGTGCATGATTATATACAATATTCCTTATATGCAAAGCATAAGCAATAACACCAACTCTTATTCAATAGGGTCCCTATAGCACAACACTTAACACCAAGGGTCCCAATATACAAAGCATAAGCAACAACACTCTATAGCACTTCTTAGGGCCTATTCAATAGGGACCCTATTTTTTACAGCACAACACTTCATATTCTACGCTACCATTAATTATATATTAGGGTCCCTATATACAAAGCATAAGCCATAAGCAATAACACCAACACTTAACACCAATTTAGTATATGTAAATGAGTGCATGTGAAGTTCATATATTATAGTATTATACAACCCAGAAATGTTACTATCTTTTCCGGTAGAAAACGTATACAACAATATATAACTTTGGTTTGGGTACTTACACTTTGGAGTGGCAGTTAACCATTCAATCTTCGACTGGTCATCCTTCCTCCGTCACAGTTTCAAGCGAACAACTAAGCTTCAATATTTGAACGCTATGTCCAATAGAATGTTTTTCAGGTAAGTTTCGATGTTTAACCAAAGGATTTGAAATGGGGAGTGCTAAGCGCGATAAAGGGTTAAGGTCGAAGAGATAGTTACAGATTTAGGGATTTAAACCTAAAATTTGGGAAGTTACATGATTACACCTAATAAAATGGGTTCTTGGACGGTGTTACTTGGACTTCTAAAGACGGAGACAAGATTTAAAAAAAAAATAAAAAAAAAGACGGAGACAAGATTTAATGCAATTTGGTCAACTCGGGAGTGCAATTTGAAATATGAGAAATACGAGTCTGAGTTTTTTTTTTTGATCATAGTCTGAGATTTTAAATTCGTGAATAACTGAGGGACGATATATGTGATTTTCCCAACAAATAATAAAAAAATATCATATTTCAAAATGTTAACCCAAAAATCTCATATTCATTTCTATTTCAACTATTCAATCTAAAAACACCCGGACCCAAGGACTCTTTACCAAACAATTGAAAACGAGCAATTAGCTGAATTCCCATAATGTGTACGGCTGACCGGCATATGGTGAAACGAGCAATTAGTTGTTTATAGTGGAAGGGTATGTTTGGCACAACTAGCTAAAAAGATACTTTTACGAGCTTTTTAGTAACTGTTAGCTTTTAGTGACTGAAAAGATCTTAAAAAGAAAAGGTGATAGCTGTTTGGTAAAAAGCTGACTATTTGATTTAGTTCGGTTCGGTATACAAGCTGTTAGGACTAATTAATACTAAAAGTCACGAGCTTTTCTCAGATGCTACACCCGGTAACATCTCAAAAAAGATCTTTTAATTTTTGAAAAGCTCTTAAAAAATGTCATGCCAAACATACAACTAAAGTCTTTTAAGGTCTTTTTAGAAATAGAGAAGCTAGAAGCTAGAGTCTTTTGTGTGCCAAACATAGCCGAAATGAAAAGGTCCTTAATTTTTTCCAACCTAAATTGGGAAAAAGTAGCTGATTTGGACTTTCAGTTCAGCTGGTTTCCAACCAACAACAGAAGCTATCATCAAAAAAAAAAAAACAACAGCAGAAGCTTAAAAGCATGGCCCCTCGAATGCTGCTTCCCGCTTTCAGAAACCGTTCTATCACTTCACGCATAATCGGCAACTATCGTTCAGTTAGCTTACATATCTTCGTTTATTCAATCCCACCTCTGGGTGGACTTCATTTAACAGCTTCGTTATTCATATCTAAGCACCTATAATGGAGAAATCGAGTTTCTTGAATGCATAATTGGAAAAGTTTGCTCTATTTTAGCGTTTAGTAGCTAGTAAATCAGGTTCATAGGATGCTATTCATGTGAAACTTAAATGTTGAATCAAGCTATGTTGTTTGGAATTTTGTATTTTCGATGCTATAAATGCAAACTGTTTTGCCTGAATCAGATATGATTTAAAAAGCATTGAAGTGACCAATAAATTGTAAATGGAGTACAGAGTACAATATAGGAACACCCACAATTTTAGTGGTCGAGTACTATTATAGGCTTTTATGGCTATTGCTCTGATGGACAAAAGCAATGTAATCCATGAGTTGCATATCTTCAGTACATTAAACCTGCATCGCTATGTGAATCAAAATTTCTGAAGTGTAATTGTTTTTTATTGTGCAGCTTAAGACATTGGTTGTGGCCGAACATGAAGGGGGCTATATCAAGAGTTCATCATTAAGTGCGATAGAGGCAGCCAAGTATTTGAGCAGTGATAGCCCTATATCTTTATTACTGGCTGGGTCAGGTCCTTCAATGAAGGAGTCTGCTTCAACTGCTGCATCATGTCTTGCTTCAGTTTCTGAGGTTATTGGCGAATGATGATAGAAACAGTTTGTTACGGCAGATGAAATACCTTTAAGTGTCTCTTCGGATGGGGGTTGAGGGGCTTGGAGGGGACTGCTTTGGCAGGCTATATATATCAGATTTTATAAAAAAATGGAAAGTTTCACATAATATTTGATAGTATAACACTCTATCTACTAAGATATAGATTTAACCGTCCAAAACTTTCCCCTCTAAATGCCTCCATCCAAACAGAGCTGTAGTAAATGACTATGTCTCAGTGTGAATTTAGGGTTATTCAACCATTTCTTAACTTTACAAAGGAGAAACTTGGATGCTAACATGACAAAATGCTTGAACAGGCATCCCATTCTTACTGGAAATGCATCTCGAATGATGCATGACATGATCAACATGTGTGTTAGTCAGTTTCAAGAACTGTTTCAACATGACCAACTTTGTAATATGAAGCCTACAGTTTCTGAAATATTATTTGGTGGACTGTTTTTTAATAATGTATGTATAAGGTTAAAATTAAATCATTCTAACAATATGTTGCAACTTGCAAGCTAAGTAGACAGATAAAATGCGAAGTGGTTTAATATTTCATTACATATCATTTGCAGAAATTTTGATGTATTGGTTCATTTGGTCAGGTTCTTATTGCTGATTCTGAAATATTTGAAAAACCTCTAGCAGAACCATGGGCTAAGCTAGTCCAGTTAGTTCACCAGAAAGGTAGCTACTCACATATAATATCAGCATCAAGTTCATTTGGGAAAAGCATACTACCACGTGCAGCTGCCCTTCTGAATGTTTCTCCAATCACTGATGTCACTGAGATTTGTGGACCTCATCTCTTTGTCAGGTAAGTTATACTGTTCAGTTTACGCTTCCTGTCTGTGACAAAAACTCGTTCACGACAGTTGTTGATAATTTCTTTTTCAACTGGTACACCAAAAGCATTTTAAATGTTCTGATATAAGTGGAGAACTTCATTTTTCTGGTAAGTTTCAAGCTAGACAACCTTTAGGATCGGTCTGGAACTGGGAATATGCTAGGAAAGAAATTCTGGAGGAAAGTGTAGGGTAAATTTTGAAGGAAAGAAAAGGTGAGGCAAAATAGAACATTTGTTCAAATCTGATAAGCCTAATTTTGATATTTGTTCAAACTTCAGACTACTTTATTCATCTTTTTCTATTATATAAAGACTAAGAAATAGATACATAAGTAAACTTTTTAAAACAACCACATCTCGTGCTCTTTTTCCCTAGCGTATGAAAATAACTTTCCCTAGTGTATGAAAATAAATTTCCCTAGCGTTTTTGTCATTTATTCGCCTACCATTTTCTGGACTCTGAACACTCTCTTAGTGTGTGACACTGCTTTATGAAGCATGAGACTGGATATACAATTAGCCGAGGAAGGAAGTAGGTCGTACAATATGATGAATAAGCACGATAATTACTTATGTTTTACACAAGTAATTATATTTATCTGTACAGATTTATAAAGAGAAAACAAACAAAAATCCCAAATTGAGCTAGAAATGATAGACATACAAGCATGAAGAAATGGGGGTCAAAAGAGGCCAAAAGCAGCACTTCTGAGTCAAACACGGACGTCAAAACGGGGCAAAATACTTTGTATTTGCGATTGGGGAGTAACTGGCGCCGACCAGCCCTTTTAAGCGGTGCCAGTCACGATGAGTTTTTCCGAACATACAAAAGCTGAGAGCAGACCAACTCCGGACCCAACATCCAACCGGCGCCAGTCACCTTTCGGCGATCAGATATATAATACATGACCGGCGCGGGTTGGGTCCGATTCTGCAGAAACACTCGAACATGCTGAAATATCTTGAAGGGATGTGAAGATATTTAGAGGTTGGGAGAATGGGAGCTGAGAAATTTCATTATTAAAAATAAAATGGTGTATGTAACAAGACAACGAATCATGGTTTTCATCCATGAATAGACTATAAGATGTCAATCTTTAGCCTATTTAAACCCCGTCTCCATCCCATAACCATCATTCATTCCATAGTTTAATTCATAGCTTTCATATTTTTATTCTTGCTTACCTCTAAACGTATACTTTGTATTCAAATCTCGAACTTTATAATATCAACCATTTCCCCGTGGATTAACCTGGTATTTTACCTGTATTTTACTACTACATCGGTACTTGTATACGTGTAGTTCGGTCCATGACAATGTGGGTTAACATCCATGTGGGTGGGGTAGCAAATGCAGGTATCAAACCCTTCAGAAGAGATATCATGTGAGCGTCGAAGCAGCATGTCTTTCATGTTTGTCTTTGTCTTGACTGTTAGCTTAGGTGCAGCATTTTTGTACTTCATAAATGTGATTAGGAGAAGATTCCATTGGTGGAAGACAGATTATCCATGAGCTCATAACATGGTTGGGGTTTTTCTCTAGAATGTGATTAGGAGAAGAAGATTCCATTGCGAAAGAGCGAGATTAATAGCTTTCCGTTCGGGGTCCATTTCGAACCTGGAAAATGCTAGGGAAAGAAAACAGGGAGGTAAGTAAGAAAACATGAGAGAAAACTAATACATTCTAACCCGAAAAATATGTTTAGATATCTGTTTAAACTCATTTTGTTTATCATTTCTATTATAGAGAAACTAAGAACTCTAAATATGCATAGAAATTACAAAACAAAAATATTCATTTTTCATTTCCTTTTGTACTTTCGAAGGTGAATCCGACTATAAAAGAACAACTTTCCTTCGCAATTCTTTCCGTTCCCTATAAATTTATGAGATTCAAACATACCCCTGGTGATAGGAGCAAATGTGGAAGCCAGGGAAAATCCAGATGGTATAATTGAAATCCTGTGGTGCCTTGTCTCTTCCTGTTGCCTGTCCACCTCTCCAACTCAGAACCTTTGGCCTCACAGGGTGTAACGTGTTTTAAATGGTGTGTAAAGAGTTTTTTTCCAAAGCTTAATCAGTCAGGGAAACTTAAACGTCTCAAACAAATATTTTTATAATCAATATAGACTTTTAAGCACTCAGTGGTTTCATGCTCGGGCTCAGCCCCATCATGCAGTTGATTTGAATCAGATTTCTTTCTGTGTGGCAGGCCAACATATGCAGGAAATGCTCTTTCTACTGTTCAGTATACTGGCCCCATGCCTTGTATGCTGACCATCAGGGCTCCATCTTTTCCGACAGGTTTAGCAGATAATTCAAAACCTAATGCTGCTTCCATTGACCAGGTTGATATATCTACCTTGAATGAAGGTAGGCTAATATACCTTGTCATGAAAATGTTAATACTCTTGCTAATACCCCCCCCCCCCCTGCAACTCTTAATGGTCATGCAGTGCTACTTATCCTAACAATTTTTATTTATTTACAGTGTAACTAAATACATCACATTGAGCTACTTTATAACTTTTTGTTGGAATGCTACATGCAACTTTTTTCCATTTTATAAAACATGATTTTTTCAGGCTAGACAGGGAGTACAACATATTTTGTATTTTGAGTTCACGATATATCAGAATCGAACACTCTATGTGGTGTATTGGACTTCATTCTTAGTACATGGGTAACTGTACAGTATAAAGAGCCGTTTTTCTTATACAGATAGCGCAGTTGGCAAATCAAGATATATACAACTTTGCTCTCAAAATACAGAGCGCCCCGATTTGGGAAATGCATGTATTGTAGTTACAGGGGGGCGGGCTCTGAAAAGTGCTGAGAATTTTAAAATGATTGAGAAGCTTGCAGAGAAACTTGGGGCTGCAGGTAATTTCCAATAATATTTGGTCTTGTATCTCTTTCTTAAAAAGTGGGTAATTCTGCATTCACATGTTCTTCTTTTACTTTTGACACTTGGTGTCCGTTTGGTAACCACTTTTATTCTTATTGATATTCTTTTACCATTTTTTTGTGCTATATTGTTTGATAATGAACAAAGTAGGGCTAAATTTACTTATTTTCAGCCTTTCAGCCTTAAGTTGCTCTGTTGCTGAAGATAATCATGTTTTAATATATACTTTCTTTGTTCTATCAATAAAATGTATTTCTAATATTTCTTCTCAAGGAATTCAACAATGTAATCAACTCCATCATTATCAGCCAACTAGTTGGGGTTGGCGACATTGAATATAGATTGCCAATTAATTGTTTAAATAACTTTAGAAATTCATGCAAAAAAGCATATAGGCATTGTTCTACACCAGAATGCCCTTCCTATAGCAAGTTCTCAACTTTCATAAGAAGCAATAATGAGGTGGAAATCCTAAAACCATCATCGTAGTTTATATCCAGATGCATTGTATATATACATCATGAGACAAGTCAGACAGCGATGAGTTGATGATATTGCAAGACCAACATGCAAAATCATCGAACATGCCTCTTCCTAAATAAGCATTACAATATAAAAGTACTTTTCATACTGTTAAAAACACTTCTTTTTGGTTTCCTGCCAACCACTTCTTTTTGAGATGCAAGATTTTTCTTCCTCTATATAGCACTTTGTTAGGGACCGGGCCAATTAGATAATAAGAATAAAGGACCGAGCCTATTAGAGTATTAATAAGAATAAAGTGTAATAGTTTAGTATAAATAGAAGATAGCAAGGAAGGGTTGAGCAGGCTGTTTTAGACTTTGACTTTGGGACTTTGGGAAGATCGAGAACTTTCTCTTTCTTTGGGGGGCTTCGGCTCATTTTGGGGGCTTCGGCCAGAATTATCTCTTCTACTTCTGTAATTGTTTTCTCGTAATCAATAAAGGTTCATCTGTTCTTGTTGATCTTTGTTAATTTTTGTCTGGAAATCTGGTGGTTCCTATCATTGGTATCAGAGCATGTCGATCGCTGGAGGAGATACACGCGCAAAGATGGAAGGAAGAATCAACGAAGTGCAAGCGAATATGGAAAGAAGTCTGCGAGAGTTCCAGACTAATATGGAGGCGAGTTTTGCTGCGAGCTTTGCTGCGTTTCAAACAAGTATCGCGAATTTGGTGATTAACACCCAAAATCGGTCGCGGAACAGATCGCATGCGTCAAACGCATCACATCGCGAATCTCATCATCTTCACAAGCTAAGGTCAGCGACTACAGAGGAATCAGAAGAGAGAAGGCATCGCAGAACATCTGATCGATCGAGGGCCAAGTCGCAGACGAAATCGCGAAATTCTTCTCACCAGTCTCAGTCGCGGAAAGAGGCGTCATCATCATCGCATACATCGCGTCGATCTCACCACCACCATTCGCCTCGCCATCACCACTCGCGTCACTCACGAAAATCAGTCAGTTCAGGGGATTCAGAAGGGTATTCTAACCATTCGCGAAAATCAAATTCCTCTCAGGCTGTCAGTTCGCTTCCAAGAAAAACGCGAGTGAAGGAAGAATCTCCATCGTCGTCGCTGGACTATTCTTTCAGTTCACAGGTTTCTTCTAGTTCTAGTGGGGAATCTCGCAGCTCATCAGCACCCAGGTCTTCATCGGTTGTGGTTCTACACCGTGAGCAAAGGTCATTAGCTTCAAGAATTTTTGACATAGGCCCATCAGAAAAAGAATCCCAGGGGACCTCACCAACAAGAATGAACACAAAATTAAAACCGGTGGTCCCTTCAGTGACGGAATCAGACTCTGAAGAGGAGGTTAATCAACGTATAAGATTGTCATCAGACAATATGAAAGGTTCAGAAATACTTAAACCCAATCAATGTTTACCAGATAAGAGTTTGGAGGGGTGGGATAAGATTGATTGTTTCAACATTGATATTGTTACTCCTGTGAAGTGTATTCAGAAGGAGTTGAGCGTACAAATTGTTGGGAATCATGAAGTAAACGAAAATAAAAATGTTAGAGGAATGCCAGTAGAAGGTAAACCTGTGCAAAAGGGAAGGGTAGGTTTGGAATGTCTTCATATGGCTAATGTGTTTGCTTTCCACAGCTATGAGAAACTCTATTCACCATTCTGGATGATCACACTGAAGAAAATGTTATCCTTGTCCGATGATCCCGCTTTGACAATTCCCTATTCTGTGGCTAGAAGACCAACTTATAGGGAAATTGTTAGATCCTATCTTGATTCTCCTAGCCTCCAGCAACAGCTACGAAGATTTAATGACTCTGGTTCTTTAAATGTGTTGGAATCTAGTATTGAGAACACCAATCTGATCAAACTCTGGGAAGATGATGATCTGGATGGAAACAAAGGGGTCTTACCGATCTGGGTTTGATAAAGTCATTTACTCACTGGGATATTGCAAAACTTAAGGGTGCATCAAGTCCAAAGCAAGAGGCAGAGTTATTAGGTGATGTGATTTTTCAATGGAAGACGGGTTTATTTGAAGAGTTCCTAAGTAAGGATAGAGAGCTTTCTGCTACCAGGACTTTGTTTCTGCTCTTACTTGCACTGTTGAACATGAAGATAAAGGTTCAAGCACGGAAGCTACAAGTCCACCGACCCGTCAAGTATTGGGAAGGAAGAGGCGTCAGAAAGAAGGGGGAGCAGAAGATCACAGCGGTTTCCTATCACCCACCTTGAGGGCAAGGTGGATGTTTAGGGGCGAAGTATTGTTAGGGACCGGGCCAATTAGATAATAAGAATAAAGGACCGAGCCTATTAGAGTATTAATAAGAATAAAGTGTAATAGTTTAGTATAAATAGAAGATAGCAAGGAAGGGTTGAGCAGGCTGTTTTAGACTTTGACTTTGGGACTTTGGGAAGATCGAGAACTTTCTCTTTCTTTGGGGGGCTTCGGCTCATTTTGGGGGCTTCGGCCAGAATTATCTCTTCTACTTCTGTAATTGTTTTCTCGTAATCAATAAAGGTTCATCTGTTCTTGTTGATCTTTGTTAATTTTTGTCTGGAAATCTGGTGGTTCCTATCACACTTATGCAATTATCATTTGAAATTAATCATCAGTTGCACCGTAAGATATTTCATTATCTAATGAAGATGCTTGATTTCTTTTCTGTCATAGTTGGTGCGACTCGTGCAGCAGTTGATGCGGGATATGTTCCTAATGATCTCCAGGTAGGGGTTGTTTGTTGTAACCTCCAGAAGTTTTTTCTGATGGTTGCTATCTACATGGAACCTATTTTGCATTCATATTTTACTCTATGCATGTTTGTGAACTCGATGGAAGTGCGTCCACACGCACATGTACCCACTCACACACGCGCGAGCTATATACAAAACCTAACAAGAGCTCAACAAGTGAGGCAGGAGCATGCAAAGCAAAAGAAATGCAACAATCTACTAGGGGGGTTCGGTACTGTACACCGAAGATTTTCTGTATTAGTTATATTAATAAAGAATGCTTCTAAGCATAGTTATATTAGTTATATCATGATTCCTTTTTGGTTTTGGACTCTTGTAATAGCTATATATAGAGCCCGTTCGGTAACACTAAAATTGGCTGAATTGGCTAATTCTGCTGAAATTTATGAAGTTCTGGCTGAAGTGGCTATATTGGCTGATTCTGCCGAGTCATGAAAAAATTATATTTAAAATATTTGTTATTAATAAATTAAATAAAAAATTATATGAAAGAATAGCTAAAATGATCGTCTACAGTAACTTCAGCCAAACTTCAGCCAATACAGCCAGAAAAGTAACTCCAACCTTACTTTTTCTGCTTATTACAAAATTCAACGCGCGAAAACAAAAGTTACGTGTTTGGTGAAAAGCTGGCTGATAAGCCCGATAAGCCGAAAAAATGGGTCACCAAACGGGCTTATAGTCTTTATTATTATTATTATTATTAAATAAACTACTTCTGGAAGAACTAATTTTACTGTGACTTGACTAGGTTTGGTGCCAGGCTAATTCCAACTTAAGCTTCTAGATTATTTTCTCTGTTTTTGAAATCAAAAGATCTGTCAAAGTGTCAAACACAGCTTCCCTTCTCTTCTTTTTGTTCTATCTTGACCTTGAAGAGGCTGCACAGGTGCTCCTAACAGTGATAAACTTAAAATTTTCTGCATCATAAACTTAAAATTTTCTGCATCATAATTTATATAAACTTAATCTTGACCTCATCATGTTTATAAAAAGCTAAGAAGATATATATGTGTGTGTGTGTGTGTAGTCTGGTGCACTTTTTAACTTTGTTCAAACCAAGTCAATATTAAATAATGACATTTTGGTTAATATTATGCTTAACTCGAAGAAGTGCACTGAGTGAGCTTCATTGTATATGGGGGCAAATGTGGGTGTTCTCACGTTCTCACGTTAAACATTGTTCTCATTTGATCTTGAATCTATCTCAAAGTCCTCCCAATTTACAAAATACAAACTCATCATGGGATTCATGGCCATCATTTGAATTGATCTAATGGCTGGAAACGCAGTGGCAATTTGGTAATCAAACCAAAGTTTTTTTTGGATGCAACACTTCAAACGTTAATATGCAATTGCTTATTTCATCACAGAATTATACAAATAGCGTAAAGATTCATTATACAAAATTTTACACAATAAGTACACTTTGTACTACATCCGCTCCCTATATATAATTTATATATATGCTGGGAGATATATGTGTGCTAGTTAATCTTTCTATGGATAGAGCCATACATGTTGGTTTTATTTTTCAGGTTGGGCAGACTGGTAAAATTGTTGCTCCAGAATTATATATGGCTTTCGGTGTTTCTGGAGCTATTCAACACATAGCTGGCATGAGAGATTCCAAATTCATTGTTGCTGTTAACAAAGATGCAGATGCACCCATATTTCAGGTCAACCCCCCAAACCACCTGATGTATGATGATATAAATTAGCCGTTCTTACAATACCTTCCTAAATTCATGTTTAGGCCCTTCTGTTTTACTTAGATCCCGTTTTACCCCAATTAATCCGGCCTTGCCAGGTGCTAGATCTTAATCTCCCAATTGGCATGTTAAGTCATCCACATCAACCAAATATTAAAATACAAACCAACACATATAGGGACATTGGGGTACTCCTGTAAAGTTAACCTTGGTATTGAACCCTAAGTCTTAATATGGTTTTAGTGTAAATTAAGCTCAAATGAGCGGTTGGATCCTGGTACGCCAAAAAAGACGAGAAGACGAATCTCAAGATTGATCTCTGTCAACCCATAATGGTGGAGATATCCTCAGGATACAAACATACAATAAACCAACTGCCGACCAAAAGGTCCAAAGGACTAAGAGGCTAAATTAGTAACAAGAGAAGCCTAGACAAGATGACAACCATGTGAATGACCTAGACTTAACGATCTCGGCCTTCCAATTGGAAGAGGCATATTGAGCTCACCCAATATGCCAAGTTTCTCCATATCGACAGCTTTACCGTCTAGGTCCCAAAGCAAGCCGAAGTCATTCTAGCTAAACCAGCAAGGCACAAACATCACTCCAAAGTTAGACTGAGATGCGAGTAGTATAAGGAAGTTGGTGTATATCAATATATCATGATATAAATTAGGATGCATATGCTTAGGTATATCTTTGTCACAACCGAACTGTGTTCACCCATTTTATGTGCAAATCCATCTAGCAAATGAGTGTGCAAGGCTATTAGCAAACAGATCACCAAGCTGCAATTTAAAATGACAACAAGATTAGAAATCTATACATGTCAAGTTGAGGGTTTATGTGAAGGTAGATGACTACCTTCACCACATTTCTGTGCCATTTTGGGGATGTGAATTTCAATAATGCTAAAGCACCACTGTCGTGCTTGAGGGGGGGGGGGGGGTACCAACCCATCTTGAATGCTGTTAATGCTCTGGAATTCATAAGAGGGGTAATCCATAAGAATTCCTGATGGCAATAGAAGCCCATCTTACAATTGAACATTCCAGCAGCAATGTTAATCTTGATAAGCCCAGCTGAGGTAGTTCCCTTTAAAGCTTCTTTATTGTGAATTTTAAGGTAATGTTATCAGCCATTCCTAGAATAGTTTCTAGTTAAAATGCAGCTCTGTATTGCAGGCCTTTTTCTAAATACAGCTTCAGCTTGTGGTGAACGGGTGTATCGCTCACCTGTGAATCCCTGCTATCTAGCTCATTTCTTCTCTGCAAATCTTCTGCATCGACCTCTTACTTTTGCTTCCCCCTCAACTTTCATCATATCTTCTGCGTCAATCTCATTCTTCTGTCTTCATCTTTATCTTGAGACGACCTCCAGCCACTAGGTATAGCTACACACTTAATAATTTATGATATTATTTTGCCACTTGGTATTTTTACTTCATTGCTATTTTTATCAATATTTACCGTTAGGTGCTACTGTAATTTACAATTATCATGATGATTGCAGATTGCTATTATAGTGTATCACTTTTTCTGTCGTTATTCTATATATCAATAACTTATTTTAGTTTATTACTATTTACTACTACGTATTTAGTACTGATATGTGTGGAGGATTGATCTCATTTTATCTTTCTTATTTTCTCTATCTTTTTATCCTTTTTATCTTATCTTTTTATCTTATCATTATCTAATCTTTTGTTCTTTTTTTTAAATCTCTTTTCGCTACAATTTCATATGATGAATCCAAACTCTTTTGGGACTAAGGCTTGGATGTTGTTTTTGTTGCTGCACTATTTAGTATAGCTAAGGAGTAATTATTGCAGCATAGCTAGACAATACGTAGCATCTCCCAAGAAGACCTTGAAGAATGTAGTCTTTCATTGACACTTTGTTCCTTTTAGCACTTCCTTGCGCCAACTTTGAACATTTTTCCCAATGGAAATTGTATGCCTGACCATGGTAGTCAAAGTCGCGATCCGGTGCGTAGGGTAATGCTTCCTGCGGTCCCCTTTCTATGGAACAATTTTAACATTCTTTTCCGACTATGAGAGTTTCAATTCTGCCACTTTTATAAGCAGGATGTTCCGTGTCCCAGTATAAAGCCTTACCAAATGTGCCCCAACAAATGGATCTGTTATGAAGTTCCCCTTTATTTAGCAATGTGAGCTCTCATAATATCTTGTATCCGAGTGAAACCAATGCCCCCTCTTCAAAGTAGCAAAGACTATCCCAAGAACTCTTATGATATTTAAACTTGTCCTGGTGTGAACTGTGAACCCTAGAAATAGTGAGCCATATATTTCATGAGACTTCAGTAGCGTGCCTTTTAGCCGTTTAGAGATGTGTAGTAGCACAAATGAGAGGGTATAAATTAAAGCGAACTTTTAATGACAAATTGTCTGCCACTCCCCAAAATAATTTACCATGTATTACTTGGCATTTCTTCTCCTTTTGTGCAAATAAATTTTGCAAAGTGCCTTTTCAATCCTCTATGAATGGGGCCATTCAGATTATCAAGGGGAATGATTGAACAGAAGAGTTGGTGATATCAGTAACCTTGTGAGCAAATCTAGGATTGAATGAAGAAACTATTTGGTTTGCTAATTATTTTCCCAGCAATTTCTCACTTTTAGTTTCCCGGAAGGTAAGCTCCAGTGAGGGACAAGGCCCAGTGTATTTTAATAACGATATACTTTTCTACAAAGTCTAGTATGGGCCATACCATAGTACCACCCAAGTCATAAAAGTAACCCAATCTAAATCTGTTGGGGGTCTTTAGCAGCAAGATCATCAGCAACCTGATTTCCCTGTGTATACATGTTTAATAGTTATCTTGAGAGTGCTTTAGTAAGGTGAGTTTCATCAAGCGTCGTCCATATTCTCCATGGGAAAGTAGTGTTGTCCAAGCAGATGCCACCTAAGGTTTTGGACTCAACTTCTACTATGATGATATTGGAGTCAACTCATTCACATATCTTTAAGGGTGGATGGGGTTCAATCATGATTGCACCAATGCCCCCATGATACCTCCAAGTTTCCTGAATTTATGGGCATCGTAAAAGACAATGGTCAATGTGGAGGAGCTAGTGCAACAGAAAGGACATCTCAATGGGTGGTTAAGGCCCCATTTTCACAGAAATTCTGGGGAGGGATTTTTTGAAGACGTTCCATGTAAGAAAGCAGTCTGTTTGGAGACATGCTCATTATTAGCCCAGCAAATTTGTGGAAGATAAGGTAGCTGCATTGGTGGAGTGAGTGCAGACATGCTCATTATTAGCCCTGCAAATTTTAAGAGGTGCTTTCTTTGGTGTAGTGAAATTGACCAAATTAGGCTGCTTCTGAGATCTAAAAATTTGAATAGCATTTCAGCCTCCAATGACCATGATGATCCCCTCTGTTGGACTCCTCTTAGGGGCGTGAAGAAGAGCCTTCCCTGTTACCATTAATGATTACCAAATATACCGGACACTGGACATGATCATAAAAATCATTCACCCACTCTTCAGAAAAGCCAAGTTGCCTCTGCACATTCTCTGTTAATAAAAGACCATCCGTTATAGATTTTGGCCATATCTAATATTTGGATAGTGTGTTTGTTGCCATGACTAGTTCATGAATCAAAAAAATATCTCATCTATGGATCACCCCTGTGATATTATTACTGTTGATGTTCAACAATCAAACTTATTATCTGTTAAATTGTTGACTAGTTGTAGGCTTGGCTTTCAGTATTCAAACTGTGAGGTTTTGTGTTGTTTCAAAACACAGGTGGCAGACTATGGGCTTGTAGGAGACCTTTTTGAGGTCATACCAGAGTTGTTAGAGAAGCTTCCCGAGAAGAAGTAGAAGCCAAATTTATTAATTAGAAAGAGTGGCACAGTGATTATTGTAGTAGAGAGGGCATTTTACACTCACGACGAAACTCTCATGTATTTCTTTCCTAATAAATTTTATCTTGGATTTGCAACTACGGCCTCCCTTTTCCTTCCCTGCTTTTGTGGTCAGAGATGGTACATGTGTTTATTTACTAGGTGGATGTGGATCATGCACTCTTATGTGGTACATGTGAATGGAGAAAGACGTATTTGCTCTCTTATATTGGTGGATCATGCTGTCGATGAACCAACCATGTTGATGAACCAGCCACGGCCCGCGACCTCTACTGGATCTAAATCCATAGTAATTACTACAAGAGCAGAAGAGCTTATGAATATTCTCCGCTTTGACGACCACTGATCAGGAACTATGAGTAACATGGATTCGGTTTCAGTTTCACCACCCATTCGAAACATCTCAATTCGCATAATCCCATATTGTAACAACAGTAGTTGGGAGTGGGTGAGCCATCACAATATGGGTGTAGAAGAATAGATCCGTGATAATTCTTTTTTTTTTTTTTGGTCATGATCCGTGATAATTCTTAAAACTTTAGAAATGAACACCAAGTTCCTAAAAAGATTGATAAAATCCCAAACTTTAGAAAAATCTAGGGAACAAAAATCAGTTAGCAGGTAACTGTTGATTAGCAAACTATATCACTTGACTTGAAATGGCGGGGGGATAAACACATTATTGACACAAACCCCCATTGACAAGGACTCACCGGCTACCACAATTCAATATCTCCTTAAGTTTCATTGGAAACCCTCAGGCCTCAACTGTACAAAATTGGGGTATCATGGTAAACATAATTAATCCTACCTATTGCAGTTAGGGGTGGATGCAGCTCTAGTTTGGCAATAGTACTGGAATTGAACCAACTGAGTTCTTACACGGAACTAGAAAGGAAAATGGTGGACCTGAGCTGAGAATTGGACTAGAATTAGTCCAAGCTGGTACCGGATAAATGGGATTGGAATTGGCATTACAATCATTGCCAATCTCGACTCATAATTACTACGAATAAATTCCACTTATGGTCCTTTGAGTTTTGCACTAATTTCACAATTAGTCTTCATCTTTCACTTTATCAATTTTTGGTACCTGACTATTGTTTTCTTGACCATATATAGTCCTTTTCCTGTAGTAAAAATGCCCAGAGATGGACCGAAAATGGTCAAGAAAACAATAGTTCAAGGCGAGGACTAAATATGGAAATGACACAAATCTCGGAGGATCTAAAGTGGAATTATACTACACAAATAAAAACTATTTGAAACAATACACATTATGGTTCATTAAGGTCCACATTCTTTCCGTTGTACCAAAAATATGAAGGTGAACATTTATGATTAAATTAATGCATAATTCATATCCAAAATTAGGGGTTTTGATTTAACTGAACCATACCAAAGTGAAGTAAATCAAATCGAAATCATATCTTATGCAACTTGAAAAAGTGAAAAATCGAATAAAATTGAAACAAACTAAAGTATTCAATAAATTCTTAATATATTTTGAAAACTAACAAATCCAAACTGAACCAATTTTTCTTTAATTATCATTTTTCAACCCATTTCAAATTGAACTAAATTGAAAATCGATAAAAATCAAATCAACATTGATATGCCCACCCTTATCCAAAATAATGATCATCATATGATTCACACAACTGCATCCCCTCAACATGAAGATGGACATTCCCGTTTCATCGTTAAACACTCAAATCCAAACTTTGAGGATATAGGTATGAATGATAACACTTTTGATCGAAAAATAAGAATAAGAATCAAGTAAAAAAGAAGATTTTGTTTTATTTACAAGTCAAGATGAAGTTGTGAAGTTCTTATTTGTCAACTCAGTTCAACGGTCTCACTTTTTTTTTACATCTGCATTTTTGCAACACGATTTTGGCATTTGTTGTCATGCAATTGTTGATTTTTATGTCACTGAGATTCATTCTCGTAACAATGACAAGTCTTGGGATTTATTTTATTTTTGTTTAATTCTAACATATTACGTGCACACTTTAAAATGCAACATAGATGAACATCTTTTAATTGCAAATCTAATATTTCTTTGAGATGATTTTGTTTTGATAATCGTTATTCATTGCTTCATGTGAGAGTAATTACCAGGCTTAACCATGATGGTAGCCCTGGCAGATATATATAATAGAATAACATGTCATATTTACAATAAGAGTTCCCAATAATAAATAAATATAAAATCTACTCTATTACACTCCCTCAAGCTGTGCAGGGGAAACAATGCGCAGATTGTCACGAAGAAGAACAAATCTTTGGGGAGACAAACACTTAGTAAAAATATCTGCCAGCTGAGCCTGAGTAGGAACATATTTCACACTCAAATCTCCATGAGCCACCCGTTCACGAACAAAATGATAGTCTATATTAATATGCTTACTGCGCGCATGATGAATCGGATTAACTGAAAGATATGATGCAGAAATATTATCACAGTAGAGCATAGTAGGATCACGAATGGGGAAGCCCAACTCAAACAACACTGAGCGAACATGTAGAGTATCCTGAACAGTGAATGCAACGGCGCGATATTCAGCCTCAGTGGAAGATCTGGAGACAGTCGGTTGCTTCTTGGAACGCCAGGAAATGAGATTAGGTCCAGAAAAATAGCGTAGCCTGAAGTAGACCGACCAGTATCAGGGCAACCAGCCCAGTCAGCGTCCGAATAAGCAATAAGAGCTGGGCTGTGACACCGCACCCGAATGTCCTTGGAAATTTGATTTGAATATTCATAGTTTATGTATTGGATTTCCGATTCCCAAACATTTTGTAAAACGATCAATGTTCTACGTAGTGCATGGTTGAATATCGTACTGTTCAAACTCGTACGTTAGTGTCGGGTTTCGCAAATACTTACTCGGGACTTATTAATAAATAAAAAAAGCCCAACATTACCTAAATAGTGAAAGAATGATTAAAGGAGAATACAAATGTCTATAACCCTATCTTTGGCATTTTTGAGCTAAATAATGGGAGTAGGATTTTCCTTCTATAATATCCATCAAGTAAATTATTGGGATGAGCCTACACATATTGGAGATCAATAATGTGATTTAGGAAGTTGACTTGTTCTAAATAAATTAGGATGAGTACAAAAGGACATCTTTGACAAAGATAAAACAATAGGACCCATCTTCCCATTTTTGGAAGTATTGGTAGATATTTTGGACCTCAAATTGATTGGGATCAATTGGGGGGCATCCCATGTGGCTTGAGTACCTGCAAGACAAGGAAAATGTGTGAGAAGACTCACCTTGGCCGCACCACATGGAGGAGCATTGCCATGACACAATTGGGATCAAATTTTGGGGCCACCACCACTGTTTTCGCACAAACAGGTGGGCTGTTTTGTCTCCCTTCATGAGTGAGGTTATACTCGGCCAAATGAGGTGTATAAGGTGTCCTTGGATAGCTTTTGAAGTCTATTTTTATAATTGAGTGGTCTCAATTCGAGAGGAGAGAGCAATCATCCAAAAATCGATCTGGAACGAGCAGAGGTCTGTGAACTCGAGCTGTGAGAGTGCTGAGACTATTTGGTCGATATCTCGAGTTTTACAAATCCAATTAAGGCGGGTGAGATACCCACAGAAAGCTCTCAAGACGAGGAATCTGTGAAGGTCTGGTTTGCAGGAATCGGAGTTGTGGAAGGCTTCCAAATCGTCCGAGCAAAACACAACCTCGCAGGAGAGGATTTAATCTTCTAAAAGTGAGTTTTTAACCCCAAAACTTTACTTTTCATTTTCCATATGATATGAACGATTGGGGGGACTATCATACACTAATCCAAGTGTATAATATGTCCTTATAAAGTTATTTTATTGATGTAAAGGTTAGATACTAACTTAGAGCAAATCTTGGAAAAACTAGGAAACGAGTTGACCGGGAAACACCCGTTCTAGGGGCTGTTTTCGTATCAACGATTAAGGGTTGAACTAGCACTTTGAGTTAGTTAAACACTCATATTTGAGCAAGGAATCAGTTCCAAATCCACCTTGACCAAAGCTTTGACCATTGGACCAAGAAGGGGAAGTGTAAAGCTCAATTGAGGTGAGGATTGACATCTAATTGCTTACAACTTGTAGGTTAAGCATGAGATTACCTAAATGCTTAAATCATGATTTTTCATGGATTATGATGATTATATATTGATGAAATATTGATATAGTTGCCAAAGAATGAAATTTGAAATGATTTGAGAAGGTATGAATAATATGAGATTAAATGAGTATAAAAGAACCATTTTGTGAAAATGGGTATTTTACTCATGTATGAATTATGTGGATACATAAATGAATATTTGTGTATTGAGATTAAATACTTAAGTTGCTGCTACATAATTATAAATATGTAGAGAATTACAAATAATGAGGATAATGGTATGATAACAATAATCTTAATAGTATTGAAATACTAGTTAGTGATTATTGGGACTTGTTGATTAAATTGATCCTAGGGATTGGATTGTATGAAAGGTACTTGAATATAGTTCAAGTGTATATAATACTTAGTATGGAACTAAGGTTGAGTTATGGGAAGTCCTTAAGGATGACCCATGGTAGTTTAATGATATGTTAATTCTAGGCATAGGGTTGCTTGAGAATTGGACCTTAATGCATGGTGATGTGATAGAGCCGAGCTCTAGAATGCATGTAAGGTGTAGACTTGGAGTCTATGTATTGTATAGCTAGAGCCGAGCTCTAGGACTTGCGTGGTGATGTGATAGAGCCGAGCTCTAGAACGCAAGGTAGGGAAATTGACCCGAGGTATATGAATTGTATGGTGATGTGGTAGAGCCGAGCTCTAGAATACAATGTCATGTACTAGGGTTGGACTCTAGGAGTTGTCGTGGCTTATAGTCACGGGGTTGGGAATGGTGATTTCCAAATGAACATGGGCCCACGGGCCGTCTACTTGACTTTTATATAAAGTAAGTATATTTTTAAACGGGGTAACTTAGGGTTACAATCATAATGTACTATCACCCTATTTGAGGGTCTTGTGTTTGAAATACTTGTTGTATATCTATTAGATGCCTGCCACACCAGCACTTTATAGCCGTATAGAGTGCTGACCCCTTCGGGGGCGTCCCACCACCATTTTTCAGGTTGAGGCTAGAGCTTGCTTCCTGTGCTCGTTGCTCGAGAGATCATCTAGGAGCGAAGACTTGGTTCGTGCTTCCTCCATTCGGATTTTAAACATTAATAAACATGCTCATGGATATTTTAATATAGAGCCTGCGTGCTCATGAATAGCCCTGTGTGGCCCTTTTGTTTTAAACAATGTTTTCCGCTGCTTTATGAATTACTTATTATGTTGTTTATGGATGACTTGTGTGTGAATGATATTCATGACGCCTTGTATAATATGAATGTGTTGGACTGCGGTTGACTATTCGTATTGTACGGCGGGTTGTTGACGTGTCCGGGGAGGTCCGGGGCGTGACAATTAAGTTGGTATCAGAGCCTTAGTCCATAAACTTCATAATGAAGTCTCAAAATTCTCTTTTTGGAAAGATTTTGAAAAAACCATGAGCATAGAAGTTTTGTACTTGGAGAGCTTTTGGTACTTGGGTTGCAAGGTCTCTAATTGTTAAGATGGTACCCTTAGCAATTGGTATGGCGGTGACTCGAGCCAGAATGTGTCTTAAGTACCTATCCGTCAATTGACATTTGATACGAGTCTAACGACTCTTTCCAAATTCTTTCAGAAATGGACCGTGGTGGCAGGATTACTAGGAGAAACCCGACCGGCCGTGTACCAGTGGAGACTGGACAGGGCAGTCGAAGGACCTCTAGGGCATCTAGAGGAGCTGGCCGTGGAGGCCGATCACAGACCGTGAGTGACGGTCATGTGGACACAGAAAGTGAAACCTACTGGTCCTATGAGGACTCGACTTACCAACCGGAAACTGAGCCGGTTGAGACCCCTTACGAAGGGGATGACGATGATGTAAGTGATGAAGAGGGGGAGAATGACTCCCTAGCAAGAATTGAGGCGCTGCTCCAACAATATCAACGGGAGCGCGAGGAAAGGAGGCAACGCCGAAGACGGCGAGCGGGGCAACCTTCGGGCATGGCTTCGAGAGGAGGAAGTCATGGTGCATCTAGAGTCCATGTGGAACCACATGGAGGCCAAAATGATGGAGGTCCAACCATAAGGATCTCCAAATTTATCAAAGAAGCAAGAGATTTGGGGTGCAAACCCTTTGATGGAGCAGGGGACATTTCAGTTGCAGTACAATGGATTAAGAGGCTAAATGAAGCAGCCCTTGACATGCAAATCGCGCCAAATCTCAAACTGAGAATTGCGGTAAGATTGCTCGAGGGGATGGCATCCAAGTGGTGGGATGGAACCAAGAGCAAGTACGGTGAGACCGTCGTTTGGGAGGACTTCCAACGGGAGTTCTTTGCCCAATATTATTCTGATTTTGAGGTGAACAAGAAGGTGAGGGAATACACCCTCCTGACCCAAGGATGTAACATGACAGTGAAGGAACTTGAGTACAAGTTCCGGGATCTCGCCGACTACATACCGGAGTATGCTTGTGACGAGAACCGAATGGTAAACCACTTTTGGGATGCTCTTGACTTGGAGATACGTGATAGGGCAACACAATTGCCTAATATGACCTTCGCCCAAGTGGTTGACCAAGCGTTGAAGGGGGAGAAACAGTGGGAGGAGAGGAAGAAGAGAGACGCCGAGGAGGCGAAAAAGAGAAAATGGGAGAGTCATGGCTCCCAAGGTTCCAACAAAAAGGGGAACCATGGAGGAGGATCTTTCCGGGCACCGCCGCCACCGTCTAGGGGGAATCAAGGCCCGAGTGGGCAAGGCTCGAGGTCACAAACCTCGGTGGTAACTCGTTGCAACAATTGCAAGAGGAACCACTCCGGTAAATGTCGCGACCCCCCCTAGATGTTTTCAATGTGGGGATGCCGGGCATTTGAAGGCGCATTGCCCACAATTGGGTGGGACAAGGACATCGGGACCGAGCAGTGGCCCGACGGGTACACGGAATCAAACCGGAGCTTCTCAAGCGAGCCGGGGACATGGGGGAGCGAGTGCGAGCAACGCGCCATCCGTGAATCAAGGAAGAACTCAAGCTAGAGTTTATGCGATGACGGAGGCGGATGCTCGAGCTAACCCGGACTCGGTTGCAGGTATTGCCTCTTGCACAATTGTATTTTGTCCATAGTTAATCCATAAATTGATGACATAAGTCATAGGGATTGAGTGCGAGCCATTACGGGGTCAAACGGCGAAATTCGGGCCAGAACTGACCAAAAACAGGGACGCACGATCGTGCGTCCAACCCCACGCACGATCGTGCGTAGGGGGCAGTGGTTCCGGGTGATGTTCGCACAGGACGCACGACCGTGCGTGCCGGTACGCACGCCGTGCGTGGACGCACGATCGTGCGTGTCCGGGTACGCACGACCGTGCGTAACCGGCAGTAGCCGGAAGCGAATTTTTCCATGCACGCACGACCGTGCGTGTCCCACGCACGACCGTGCGTGGACCCCAGCCGCCCGAAACCTAAGTTTTTCCCCTCGTTTTTCTACGATTGGACCCCCGTTTGATTCCGAACATCTATATGAACCTATTAACCTCCAAAAAGTGTCCTAAACCATTAGAAAAGGTATCTTACATGGTGTATAAATGTAGGAACATTAAAGATTAATGGGAAGGATGCACGAATCCTTATCGATACCGGAGCGCAACGTTCGTTCGTGAGTGAGGCGTTCGCCGAGGACTTAGGGGTACAATCAACACCAATGACGCACACATTAGTGGTATCAACACCACTAGGGGATGATGTCGAAAGAACTAGTTATTATCCATCTTGTGAGGTGGAAATTGATGGCCAAACCTTGACGTGTGATTTCGTACCGCTGAGTATGATGGAGTTCGATGCAATCCTAGGGATGGATTGGCTAGAAAAGCATCATGCTAGGGTAGATTGCTACACAAAGGTTTTGGAACTCGAAGGCAATAATGGGGACACCCTACGCTTCGAGGGGGACCGAAGCAAATCAAACAGTTGTATTATTTCCGCCGTGAGAGCGAGAAGTATGATGAGAAAGGGATGTCACGCATATCTAGCATACGTGGTTGACAAAACCAAGGAGGAAACGAACATTGACGACATGAGGGTGGTTTGTAAGTACCCGGATGTCTTCCCTAAAGACCTACCGGGGCTTCCACCTGATAGGGAGATTGAATTTGTGATCGAGGTCGAGCCTGGTACCAAACCAATCTCCATACCGCCATACCGTATGGCACCCGCTGAACTTAACGAGTTGAAAACCCAATTGCAGGAGCTTTTGGATAATGGTTTCATTAGACCCAGCCACTCCCCGTGGGGAGCACCAGTTCTTTTTGTGAAAAAGAAAGATGGGACACTCCGAATGTGCATTGACTATCGTCAACTGAACAAGGTCACAATCAAGAATAGGTATCCTTTGCCTAGGATTGATGACTTATTTGATCAACTACGAGGAGCAACGGTGTTTTCAAAGATTGACTTGAGGTCGGGGTACCACCAATTGAAGATTAAGGAGGATGACATACCAAAGAGTGCTTTCCGCACAAGGTACGGGCATTTTGAATTCCTTGTTATGTCGTTTGGGTTAACAAACGCCCCGGCGGCATTCATGGACTTGATGAACCGAGTATTTCATAAATACTTGGACCGATTCGTGATTGTGTTCATAGATGACATCTTGATTTACTCAAGGAGTGAAGAAGAGCATGAAGAGCACTTGATACTCGTTCTTGAGACACTACGGGAGAAGCAACTCTATGCCAAATTTTCTAAATGTGAATTTTGGCTAAAGGAGATTGGCTTCCTCGGGCACGTGGTTTCTGGATCGGGAATTGCTGTTGATAACAAGAAGATAGAAGCCATTACCGAATGGGAGAGGCCAAAGAACGTCAAGGAAATTCGTAGTTTCCTTGGATTGGCAGGCTACTACAGGAAGTTCGTGGAGAAGTTCTCTGTTTTGGCATCACCATTGACGAAGCTCACTCGTAAAGGAGCTAAGTTTGTATGGGATGACAAATGTGAGAAGGGGTTCATGGAACTAAAGAAACGATTGACCGAGGCACCGGTACTTGCATTACCCAAACAGGGTGTGGGGTACGATGTCTATAGTGATGCGAGCATCCAAGGGCTTGGGTGTGTACTGATGCAGAATGGGAGGGTAATCGCCTATGCTTCACGACAGTTGAAGAAGCATGAGGTGAATTATCCTACTCATGATTTGGAGCTGGGGGCAGTGGTGTTTGCACTGAAGATATGGAGACATTATCTCTACGGGGAGACATGTCACATATACACTGATCACAAGAGCTTGAAATACGTGTTTACTCAGAAAGAGCTAAACATGAGACAGAGACGGTGGATGGAGTTGATAAAAGACTACCATCTGGTGATAGAGTATCACCCAGGCAAGGCTAACGTGGTGGCAGATGCTTTGAGCCGGAAAAGCTCGTCTGGGCCATTGCTAGCTAATTTGAGGGCATTAAGAGCCCAATTGGAGGTATCCAGCGATGGTGCCTTATTGGCACGATTTGAGGTGAGACCTACCTTACTTGATGAGATCAAGAAGGGTCAGGAAACTGACGAAGAAATTATGAAGATCCGGGAACGCATGCAAGCGGGACCGGTGGAGGACTTCAGAGAAAGAGATGACGGTCTCTTATTATTTCGTGACCGAGTGTGTGTACCGGCGGATGATGAGCTCCGAAAGTCCATCTTAGAGGAGGCTCATTCATCGGCTTATGCCATGCACCCGGGGGGCACGAAAATGTACCGTGATTTGAAAGAAAGTTACTGGTGGTCTGGAATGAAGAGGGAAATAGCCGAGTACATCAGTCGGTGCCTTACTTGCCAACAAGTTAAGGCAGAACATCAACATCCAGCAGGCTTGTTACAACCACTTTCCATTCCTGAGTGGAAGTGGGAACATGTGACTATGGATTTCGTGGTAGGTTTACCACAGACGATTCGGAACTATGATGCAGTTTGGGTTGTTGTGGATAGGCTCACGAAGAGTGCACACTTTTTGCCTATCAATACTACCTACCCACTTGAGAGGTTAGCCAAATTATATACGGATGAGATTGTGAGGCTGCATGGGGTCCCAGTGACCATTGTATCCGATAGAGACCCACGATTCACATCACGTTTTTGGCCGAAATTTCAGGAGTCTATGGGAACAAGGTTGAAGTTCAGTACTGCTTTCCACCCACAGACGGATGGACAGTCTGAAAGAGTCATACAGATCTTGGAAGACATGTTGAGGGCTTGTGCATTGGAGTTCCAAGGAAGTTGGGACAACCACTTAGCACTTGTGGAGTTTGCTTATAACAACAGTTATCAGGCAAGCATCGGCATGCCTCCATACGAGGCATTGTATGGGAGGAGGTGTCGTACACCGTTATGCTGGGACGAGGTTGGCATAGCCAAACTCGAGGGTACTGAGTTGGTTGAGGTCACCAAATCAAAGGTGAAATTGATTCGAGAGAGACTCAAAGCGGCTCAGGATAGGCAAAAGAGTTATGCAGATAAGCGTCGAAGAACCTTAGAGTTTAAGGTTGATGACGAGGTATTCTTGAAAGTTTCTCCTTGGAAAGGAATCATTCGATTTCAAACCCGAGGGAAGCTTAACCCACGGTACATAGGTCCTTTCAGAATTATAGAGAGGATTGGGGCTGTTGCATATCGTCTACAGTTGACTCCTGAGTTAGAGAAGATACATAATGTGTTTCACGTATCCATGCTTAAGAAGTATGTACATGATCCCTCTCACGTATTGGAGAAGCCACCTGTAGAGGTACGTGAGGATTTAAACTACTCTGTTCAACCTATCAAGGTCACCGATAGAAAGGTGAAGAAACTGAGGAGCAAGGAAGTCCCAATGGTTAAAGTCCTGTGGAAGAGCGATCGGGTCGAAGAAGAGACATGGGAAACAGAGGCTTTGATGAGGAAGCAGTATGCTTTCCTATTCGAGTAGAGCTGTGAATTTCGGGGACGAAATTCCTGTTAAGGGGGGGTGAACTTGTGACACCGCACCCGAATGTCCTTGGAAATTTGATTTGAATATTCATAGTTTATGTATTGGATTTCCGATTCCCAAACATTTTGTAAAACGATCAATGTTCTACGTAGTGCATGGTTGAATATCGTACTGTTCAAACTCGTACGTTAGTGTCGGGTTTCGCAAATACTTACTCGGGACTTATTAATAAATAAAAAAAGCCCAACATTACCTAAATAGTGAAAGAATGATTAAAGGAGAATACAAATGTCTATAACCCTATCTTTGGCATTTTTGAGCTAAATAATGGGAGTAGGATTTTCCTTCTATAATATCCATCAAGTAAATTATTGGGATGAGCCTACACATATTGGAGATCAATAATGTGATTTAGGAAGTTGACTTGTTCTAAATAAATTAGGATGAGTACAAAAGGACATCTTTGACAAAGATAAAACAATAGGACCCATCTTCCCATTTTTGGAAGTATTGGTAGATATTTTGGACCTCAAATTGATTGGGATCAATTGGGGGGCATCCCATGTGGCTTGAGTACCTGCAAGACAAGGAAAATGTGTGAGAAGACTCACCTTGGCCGCACCACATGGAGGAGCATTGCCATGACACAATTGGGATCAAATTTTGGGGCCACCACCACTGTTTTCGCACAAACAGGTGGGCTGTTTTGTCTCCCTTCATGAGTGAGGTTATACTCGGCCAAATGAGGTGTATAAGGTGTCCTTGGATAGCTTTTGAAGTCTATTTTTATAATTGAGTGGTCTCAATTCGAGAGGAGAGAGCAATCATCCAAAAATCGATCTGGAACGAGCAGAGGTCTGTGAACTCGAGCTGTGAGAGTGCTGAGACTATTTGGTCGATATCTCGAGTTTTACAAATCCAATTAAGGCGGGTGAGATACCCACAGAAAGCTCTCAAGACGAGGAATCTGTGAAGGTCTGGTTTGCAGGAATCGGAGTTGTGGAAGGCTTCCAAATCGTCCGAGCAAAACACAACCTCGCAGGAGAGGATTTAATCTTCTAAAAGTGAGTTTTTAACCCCAAAACTTTACTTTTCATTTTCCATATGATATGAACGATTGGGGGGACTATCATACACTAATCCAAGTGTATAATATGTCCTTATAAAGTTATTTTATTGATGTAAAGGTTAGATACTAACTTAGAGCAAATCTTGGAAAAACTAGGAAACGAGTTGACCGGGAAACACCCGTTCTAGGGGCTGTTTTCGTATCAACGATTAAGGGTTGAACTAGCACTTTGAGTTAGTTAAACACTCATATTTGAGCAAGGAATCAGTTCCAAATCCACCTTGACCAAAGCTTTGACCATTGGACCAAGAAGGGGAAGTGTAAAGCTCAATTGAGGTGAGGATTGACATCTAATTGCTTACAACTTGTAGGTTAAGCATGAGATTACCTAAATGCTTAAATCATGATTTTTCATGGATTATGATGATTATATATTGATGAAATATTGATATAGTTGCCAAAGAATGAAATTTGAAATGATTTGAGAAGGTATGAATAATATGAGATTAAATGAGTATAAAAGAACCATTTTGTGAAAATGGGTATTTTACTCATGTATGAATTATGTGGATACATAAATGAATATTTGTGTATTGAGATTAAATACTTAAGTTGCTGCTACATAATTATAAATATGTAGAGAATTACAAATAATGAGGATAATGGCATGATAACAATAATCTTAATAGTATTGAAATACTAGTTAGTGATTATTGGGACTTGTTGATTAAATTGATCCTAGGGATTGGATTGTATGAAAGGTACTTGAATATAGTTCAAGTGTATATAATACTTAGTATGGAACTAAGGTTGAGTTATGGGAAGTCTTTAAGGATGACCCATGGTAGTTTAATGATATGTTAATTCTAGGCATAGGGTTGCTTGAGAATTGGACCTTAATGCATGGTGATGTGATAGAGCCGAGCTCTAGAATGCATGTAAGGTGTAGACTTGGAGTCTATGTATTGTATAGCTAGAGCCGAACTCTAGGACTTGCGTGGTGATGTGATAGAGCCGAGCTCTAGAACGCAAGGTAGGGAAATTGACCCGAGGTATATGAATTGTATGGTGATGTGGTAGAGCCGAGCTCTAGAATACAATGTCATGTACTAGGGTTGGACTCTAGGAGTTGTCGTGGCTTATAGTCACGGGGTTGGGAATGGTGATTTCCAAATGAACATGGGCCCACGGGCCGTCTACTTGACTTTTATATAAAGTAAGTATATTTTTAAACGGGGTAACTTAGGGTTACAATCATAATGTACTATCACCCTATTTGAGGGTCTTGTGTTTGAAATACTTGTTGTATATCTATTAGATGCCTGCCACACCAGCACTTTATAGCCGTATAGAGTGCTGACCCCTTCGGGGGCGTCCCACCACCATTTTTCAGGTTGAGGCTAGAGCTTGCTTCCTGTGCTCGTTGCTCGAGAGATCATCTAGGAGCGAAGACTTGGTTCGTGCTTCCTCCATTCGGATTTTAAACATTAATAAACATGCTCATGGATATTTTAATATAGAGCCTGCGTGCTCATGAATAGCCCTGTGTGGCCCTTTTGTTTTAAACAATGTTTTCCGCTGCTTTATGAATTACTTATTATGTTGTTTATGGATGACTTGTGTGTGAATGATATTCATGACGCCTTGTATAATATGAATGTGTTGGACTGCGGTTGACTATTCGTATTGTACGGCGGGTTGTTGACGTGTCCGGGGAGGTCCGGGGCGTGACATGGGCGACCACGAGAAGCCTGTAGAAAAAGTCCATGCGTAGAGGTTCCCTGTAGATACCTGAAAATGCGCTTAACAGCCAACATATGTGAAGTACGGGGGGCATGCATAAATTGAGAAACCAAGTGTACAACAAAAGTAATATCTGGCATAGTCAAAGTTAAATACTGTAATGCACCTACCATACTCCTGTACTCCGTGGCATCTGCAAGAAGCTCCCCATCAGTAATAGAGAGTTTGGTGCGACTCGGAAGAGGAGAGCGAACAGGTTTTAAGGCGTGGAAGTGAAATCGAAGAAGTAAATCAGATATGTACTTATGCTGGGAAAGAAATAAACCGGACGAAGTCCGAGTCGCATGAATACCCTGAAAAAAATGCAAATCCCCCAAATCCTTCATGGCAAAACATTTAGCAAGGAGGGATAAAAAATGAGAAACGAGTTTTGGGGAATTGCCTGTGACTATAATATCATCAACATAGAGCAGAAGATAAATAATATCAGACTGACGCCGAAAAATAAAAAGAGAATTATCTGACCGGCTGCATGAAAAACCATGAGAAAGAAGAAAGCTACTAAAGCGATGAAACCAGGCACGTGGTGCTTGTTTAAGACCATAAATAGCTTTACGAAGACGACACAAGTGATGAGGAAACTGGGGATGAACAAAACCTGGTGGCTGACGCATATATACCTCCTCCGTAAGGTGACCATGAAGAAAAGCATTATTGACATCTAGTGGACGGATGGGCCAACCAAATGATACTGCTAAAGTAAGAACAAGACGAACAGTAGTGGGTTTAACAACAGGGCTAAAAGTCTCAGTAAAATCAATACCTGCCTGCTGATTAAACCCCTGTGCAACCAAGCGAGCCTTATAGCGATCAACAGATCCATCAGCCAGATACTTAGTCTTATAAATCCATTTGGACCCAACCACATTCTTATTAGCATCAAATGGAACTAAATCCCAAGTATGATTAGAAATAAGAGCATTAAATTCTTCTGCCATAGCAGCTCTCCACTTAAGATGTTTATTAGCAACAGAAAAGGAAGTGGGATCAGGTGTGTGAACAACTGTGCTTAAATTAAAAATGGTTTTGGGTTTAAAAATCCCGGACTTGGACCGGGTTTGCATAGGATGAATATTCACAACGGGAGAAGAACTCGGAGGAACCGTGGTAGTAGGCGCAACTGAAGGTGAAGCATGGTTGAGGGTGATGGAGGGGCTGTCGGTTACGGTACAGGGGGAGGAGAGGTCTGGACCGAAGTCCACTGAGGGGCTGTCATGGGGTGGGCTATGAATTGGTACAGTAGCAGCAGAGCTGCTGTGTCCCTGCGTGCTGCTGGGAGTGGGGAGCGAAGGGACAGAGGGAGCAGGCAGTGCGGGAATAGGCAAGTTGTGGGAAGGGAAACTAGGTGAGGGCTGGTCACGGCTGGGGGAAATAATTAGGGAGGTAGGGGAAAAGGCAGAAGAAGAGGACACTGTGGGACCGGCAAGAACAGAATATGGAAAAATATTTTCCAAAAATCTGACATTTCTGCTAATGTAAACACGACCAGACACGGGATCAAAACAACGGTACCCTTTATAGTCAGGAGCATAGCCCAAGAAAATGCATTGAACTGATCTCGGATCCAACTTATTTGCCAAAGAAGCAGTAAAATTGGGAAAACATGCACACCCAAATACACGAAAAATAGACATATCAGGTTTCTTATTAAAAAGTTTTTCAAAAGGAGACAAACCATGTAGAGTAGGAGAGGGTATCCGATTAATGATAAAAGTAGCAGTAAGCACGGCATCTACCCAAAAATTAGCAGGCAAGCTAGCAGCAATAAGCATAGTGCGAGCTAATTCAAGTAAATGTCGATGCTTACGCTCAGCAACACCATTTTGTTGAGGAGTTTCAGGACATGATTTTTGAAAAATAATTCCATTAGCATTAAAAAAATTTCGCAAATTAAAGTTGTCAAACTCACCCCCTCCATCACTCTGAAAGATCTTGATTTTGCGGTCAAGTAAATTTTCAATCATTAATTTAAAATGTTGAAAATGAGTAGTAACCTCAGACTTACGCCGCATAGGATAAACCCAAGTAAAACGAGAAAAATCATCTATAAAACAGACATAATATTTGAATCCTAAATGAGATAACACAGGATATTGCCATACATCGGAATGAATTAAATATAAGACACAAGGACTATGATGAAAAACTGTATTAAAGGGTAACCGTTGTGACTTGCCCAAACGACAAGGAATACAATCAGAAACATTAGCAGAAGTGCCAGAAATAAAATTATTCAGTCTAAGCTGATCTAAAACACGAGAACCACAATGTCCTAATCTATTATGCCAAAGGGAAAGAGATGCCGCAGCTAAGGCAACAGGTGACGGTGTAGGCTGACGAATGGGATAGACGCCATTATCACTGAGAGCTTGAAGAAGGACCTCCCCCGTTGTTAAATCCTTTACAAAAAAAATATTTTTATCAAAAATCACAGCACAGTTGTTATCAGCACACAATTTTTGGATAGATAAAAGATTGTATTTAATGTTGGGCACATGCAAAACAGATTTCAAGTGAAGAGGTTTGGAAGACGAAGTTAATACAACTTGACCAGATTTCATAACCGGGAGAGTATTTCCATTTGCTACAATAATAGAATGAGAATTAGGAGAAAAGGATTTATGAGTTAAGATACCTGAATGAGGAGTCATATGCGCAGAGGCACCTGAATCAGGATACCAAACCATCTCAGAAGCATCAGGGGCCTGAGCAGCCAGAGCAGGTGCAGCCGGTTGAACAAAACGAGAGGGACAAGTGGAAGCAGGATGACCTGGGGCATAACAAATTTGACAAATAACCGGAGGAGGGACTAAATTTCCCTCAGCTGAAGAGGAGCCTGCATAACCACCGTTAGTAGAGAAAGTAGATAAGGCATAAGTAAAAAATTTTGACTGAACAGACATACCCGCTGAACCTGGAGCCCCAAGAATACCAGCATGCGGTGCACCCCCTGGAAAATAAGCTGGCGGAGGGTAGCCATAACCAAACTGTGGAGGGTAACCATAACCACCGCGACCACGCTGACCGCGACCACGCTGACCGCGACCACCGCGACCACGCTGACCGCGGCCACCACGCCCGCGATTTCCTCGGCCGCGAGCCTGCCCACCGGCCTGGGGCTGCTGCTGGCCACCCGCGGGATGCTGCTGTGCGCCCTGTTGTGGCTGCTGGCCACCATGTGATGGCTGCCCCCCGGGTGAGCCTGTCCCGCAAAAGCTTGAGCTGGATTTAATTCCTCTTGAGCATTCATATACTGCAAACTGCGCTCCTTTTCAACTAATTTGGTTCGAAGGTTTTCAAAAGTGAAGCTTTCCGGAAAAAGATCCACCGATGTGATAAGAGACTCATAGTCGCGACCAAGACCAAGCAAAATATTCTGAAACAACTCTCTACGAGACACTGGAGCATTGATGGCAGCCAAACGGTCAGCAATGTCCTTAATGTCACGCAGATAATGTTCCATGGACTGATTAGAGCGCTTCTTGGAATGAGTAAGTTGTCGTTTCAGTTCCATGGAACAAGCAAGGCTAGCAGACATAAAATGAGACTCCAAACGTGTCCAGATAGCAAAGGCATTTTTTAATTCACGAACTTCAATTAACACATCACGAGATAAAGTGGCAAACAACCAAGAACGCACAGTTTGATCCAATTTTAACCAATTACAATAATCTGGATTAACAACCTCATGATGATGAGCATCAAAAACATAGGGAGCGGGAGCGGGAATGGAACCATCTAAAATCCCCAAAAATCCATTTGACACCAAGAACGACTCAAACTGAGTACGCCAAGTCAAGTAATCCTCAACAACAGAATGCTTCGTAGTAACAATATTTGTAATATTAAGTGCCGAAAAACCAATATTTTTGACTAACTCAGACAAAACAGAACCTGAATTAGGCAGAGCACTTGACCGAGGTGCAATCGGTCCAATCGAAGCAGAAGATGTCAATGGTGTAATTCCAGGAGCTCCGGCGAAGGTGGGACCCGCAAAACTGGAGCCAGATTGAATAACAGGGGAGCTAGCCGGCCGACTGGAAGAACAGAGGAGCAGAGGTCGGTTGTAATTCCGGCTGGGTGGGAGACCAGGTGAAGACCGGCGGTACCCATGGAGCTTCGTCGGTCGTGGAAAAAGGAGTAGACGGCGGCGGCGGCAAGGAGAAACCTGCGCTCGAACTCGGCCTTGAAAAAAAAAAGAGGGGTTCCAAACACCAAAGAGCTGGATGCACTGGTAGCCGACGCAGCAGACGACGAAGAAAAGATTGGCGCAGTGGTGGGGAATATGCTGCCGGTGGTCGTACTGCTGAAGGTGGAAGTAGCAGCGTTGGAGGTGTTGATCGATGCTGCAGATGAGTCGGCCGAAGACATATTGGAGGCGGAAAAAAATTAGGGTAGAAAGTCTATGACTCTTGATACCATGTGAGAGTAATTACCAGGCTTAACCATGATGGTAGCCCTGGCAGATATATATAATAGAATAACATGTCATATTTACAATAAGAGTTCCCAATAATAAATAAATATAAAATCTACTCTATTACTTCAGTACAGAGGTAAGACTGCGTACATCCGACCCCCCCTTACCCCACCGTAAGTGGGAGCCTTTGCGGCACTGGGGTAAATGAAAATGATGAAATGATGAATCGTTATTCAGTGGTATCTCAAATGAGAGCATTTCCGATTTGTGGATTATGACTGGGTAATATTATACAAACTTACAAAGTATATATCGAGATGTCGAGTTATGCGGTGATATCTAACACTCCGCATGGGAATATTTCCATTTTGTAAAATCTGTTTTAACAATTTCTCTAAATGTGAGTCAAATGCTTGTAAATGGAAAGAAAAAAAAACGCATAGCTCTACA